CGTCTTATAATAATACCTCATTGCATTTTCCTTAAAAGTTTTATATTTTATAATTATATATTTTTTGTGATTATATTAATAATTAAATTATAACTAGATATATGCTTATTCCCTTTGAATTGGATGAATTTATATAAAACTTTTTTTTTTTTTCTGAGAGCTAACTCAGAGAAAGAAAGAAATAAAATTAGTTTTCTTTAATTTTTTGTACTAAATATTAATCAGTAACTTATCTGATTTCATATGACTTAATTACTCTTAGTTATTCTTCACATATTACCAAATAAATTATTTTAAATGTTATCTCAAAATTTATCAGTAAATATAAAAAATAGTAAACATTACTAATTTAAAAAAATATAAAATATTTTTTTTTAATCTAATATCACTTATTTATAAGAAATTGATAACTTTATATTACGATTCATATAATATTTGATGTGCAACTACTAATGAATTAGCAGATACGATCATGCACGTTATTATGAATGCTTTAATGATTTTTTAGCAATATTGTTAAAAGAGATGCTAGGTAAGTTTCTTAACTCTATTCATTCACTATTATAGTTATTACTTGACATGTATTCATTTTTTTTTATTAACAAAAAGTTCTTATGAAGGATTTTTAGATTTTTTTTAAAAAAAGAAACTATGACTTCTTACCTCGTTATCTATAATTGTTATAACTCTACTCTTCATCTAGTTTATCTATTCTAAAGAACTTTGTTTAATTATTATGTAGTGGCATAAAATTTGTGTTCACTGATGAAGTGTGGCAAGGACTAATCCATAGCTTGTTTGATCTGCATGTTTATAAACATTGAAAGTGTGTATGAACTCTCTACAATACATGGCCCTAAAACTTCCAATAGAAATCTTTAAATTTTTGTAATAATTTAAATGATCAACAAATTCCTCTATTTCATAATAATGGTCTAAGTTTTAAAAAAAATTTAATGGAGACAAGTTTTATTATTGAGTTCATATTTAAAAAGGTCTCACCATTATATTTAAGGTTAAATTAATCATATTTGACCCTCAAGTTTCTTTAGATGGATCTCCGATCTAGTTGTAGAATTTTTTTAGGTGGATTTTACTTCTCTTAAAGATATCGACAAGTTTTTTTTTTTTTTTCAATCAAGTTTGTTCATTATTTTTCTTTAAATCTAATGAACATTACTCGATAAGAAGTTACATAGTTCCTTAAAGTATACTTATTGATATTCAAGAGATATGATAGATGGGTTTCTTCTCTCGATGGCCTTAATAAAGTTATCATTTTCCTATTAGAGTACCACATCATGGGGAAGTGGATATCCCGCACTTCCACTTAGAGAATTCTATCCACAGCAAGATGGATTTCTCACTTCATTTTGAATAATTTGTTTTTGTAGATTGGGTGAATATTTTTTAGTTATCATGTTTGCTCTTCCTTTTAATAAATGACATCAATTAATATACACAATTTTAAAAAGTAAACAAGTAGAAAATACATATAGTAACATATATTTGAAAATGAATAATTAAGCACTCTTAAATTTTGCCCTTTAGGATCACAACCTATGCTAGTAAGGTGACATAGAAGTATAATGGAGAAATAATAAATTAAAAGGATGTACAAGTTATGATTAAAAGTTTCTCTTTGTTTAATTTCATATATTTTTAAAGGTCAATTATTGTTATTCTTTTAGTTAAATATTTTATATTTTTTGAGAACTTTGGTGTATGGTACTATTAAATATCTTGGTACTACACGTCCTCATATTTTATTTTTATATTAATGTAAATTTTACACGTTTTTCAATATTTAATAATCATTATTTACCTTATAAAGGCATCATCTATTGTTCGCAAATTAGTAGTCACCAATTAATGCTCATATATCCATGTTAATTTTTAAATATATAAATGATTATCATAAAGAAAAAAAGGTGAAATAAAATTAACTTAATAGAATAAATAATAATATATTATAATAACAAAATTATCTCCTCTTCTCTCCCCAAAGCCGACCCTACAACTAACAAGCCATGATTATATTCGGATACATTAGAATTTGGGAGGAGATTGGATTTGGTTGGTAGGGAAATGTTTTAAGCTTGGATAAGTTAGAGCCTACCCTAGAAATACTTCCGCTTGACTTTTGAATCCCACCATCCGTTTACTTGGATCACATGCATATTACATTATGTATATCTTATATACATATATATATATATATGTAGAATCTTTCTCATCATCTAGTTAGAAGACAGAGATATGAAGAGTACTAGTCTTTTTGAAGATAGATGAGTTGAGTTTACTACGTTAGAGATTAGATGGGCATCATGGGTCGATCTATAGAGACGTGAAAAGATTTTTGGGATAAATAGCATGGGTATGCATATACATATATATGTCATGAGTATTGACTCATCGGTATATATATATATATATATATATATAACCGACCACCCACAACATGAAACATGTTCATGAATGTAGTGGGTCTTAAATTTGTGGGTCTCTTTCTCTCTGTCCAACACTATATACAGCACCACCTTGTAATCAATATTTTCTGTGTAAATGTATGTACATATGTATGTTATGATGGAGAGAATTAAAAGATGGTGGTGGTGATAGAGAAGAGAGATTCGTTTGCTATCAAATAGATGGTCCAACTCCAATCCCTCCACTTCCATTAAGCTATAAATTCAACAATCAATATTTAAACTCTCCTTTTCTATCCTTCTCACATGTCAGGTTTTAGTGGGAGGAGCCACACTAGTGAGAACTAGCAAGAACCCCACCACCACACACACACACACACACATCCCCAAGAGAAAGAACGCCACTGCCAAGTGTCTAAATCACTCGCTCAACACTTCTTTGTTTTTTTTTCTTTTAGGGTTTCTCTTGTAATTTTATTGTTGTTTCTGGTTCAAGTTACTTTTTAAACGTATTTGTGCTTATTTTTATTATAGTTTTTCTATTATTTTAATATATTATAAATTATTTGATATAATATCTTAAGTTTATAGTAATAAATGATTTTTGAAATATTAATAAAATATGATCAAATTTAATAAGTACTGAAAAAAATATTTTGAGTCAATTATTACAGCGATAATTAAACCGAATTTCTTTCTATATAATTTTAGATATACACTCTTACATCTTAATTCGGTATATTCAAAATTTTATTTTTAAAATATTAGATATACAAATTGAACTTTTGTTATTCAGGAAAAAGAAAATTCATCCATATCAACCAAACTAATATACATGAGTAGTTTTCTAATAATTTGTGGTTTCATGAACTTCAAATATATATATATATATATATATATATATATATATATTGTATGTTTCAAATTTGAGCCTTCATTTGTGCCTCTTCCATCATTAGAGTCTATATTGTATTGTGAGATGGGTTTCGTGTGGTGTTAAAAAACGTCCATTCACAAGATCATTAGAAAGATGTCGTTTTATCGGAAAAGTTATGGCGCTTAATTCACATGTACATTGTCCTTTTTCTTCTATTGATTCCAAATAATTATAAACTTTATTCTTGTTGAATATTAAAATATCATATAATATTAATGTTACTCGATTATGATTACATTAAGATAAAAAAAAAAAAAAAAACAGTATGAAACAAATTTCTCAGAACCAACATGAGGGGGCGCCATAACTTATTTTCTGGTTAATTTCACAGAAGTAAATTCTTAATTTACAAAATTCTTTTGTGATCAAAGAATTTATTTTAATATTTTTTTAAAAAAATATTATAATATCTAATAAAATTGATGAGTTCTTATCCGTGTAGTCCTGACGTCCAGTCCAATTAAAATAAATTTGAGACTTAATATTTTATTTCTATCTAAGAAGTCAAAGTATATAATATTTTATTTCTTCCAGGGTAATCGGTACGAGCATGATCTTAAGGTACCCAACAGAGGGGATAACTCGATAACATATAAAAATTTAATAAATTATTTATTATTTGCCACAAAATATTTAATTATTGAGTTTTGTTTGTGCCTAAGATATTGTAGTTAATTAGTCTTTATTCCAATTTGTAACATGTAACATGTCTTTTTTTTTTTTAATTTCGTTTAATGGTATGCGTGGACTTGTTTTATTCCTCTAATATTTTTATAAAATATACGTTTGTTTAAAATTGTTAAGATAAGTAGGAAGCTCAGAGATTAAATAAGATGACATCTTCATAATAATTAATGACTCAAAATCCGATTAAAAAATTACTAAAATAAAATAAATATTAACGTAAAGGTAATATAGAAGAGAGTTAAAAAAAAAAAAAAAAAAATTAAACTTCGGAATTTAGTAAATTATCCGCAAGGGTCTTTTGGGAAAAAAGTTATTGTCAATAGTTAATTTATTGAAAGAAAAAGTGCGTGCATATATTCAATTTTTGTAGATAAAACTTTAATAACAAAATTATAAATTAACTTGATTGACCCACTAAGAAAACATTGTATTATATTTTTGGCAAGTGCTGTTGTATCCACTACTTGATTGTTAAATTTATTAAAATAACTGGGTATCTAATATTTCATCTTTTAACATTAAAATCCAAACAATGATCGTTTAATCATTTTAGTAACAAGCTAAGACACATGTTAGAAATCTGGTACCTTCTCCAGTTAAGCAATCAGCTAGACATGTCCAGCTCAGTTTTAGCATTAATTAACTATTTAATTCCCATTCCTTGTCTCAATTATACCATTAATCTACCCACCTAATTTGGAGTAACTCCCAACCCTAAACTCTAGTCCTACCAAAAAGAAGGTTACACAAATTCGTAAGAGAAAACCAATTTATAAAGCTCAAGGGAATAAAATTTTGTATCAATTTGGTAGAATTGATTCTAATCTATGAAATCTTCAATTAAGTTTGCCAAACCTGATCCCGTAGTAACTGCTAAATTACTGAGAACTTACACTCTCAAGGGACCAGTTTCCCCACAGTATCTCAATGTAATTGATGTTGAAAAATACATATAAATATATTGATTGCAAACTAACAATAAGGCCCCCGTACTGTCATTACTGATCCCCTATTAGTATCATTTACAAGGGCGAGCACGCACACATCCAGAACATTAGACCTTTCATTGGTTCATCAGAACAAAAATCACAAACCTACAAAATACATTTAAAAAGCCTTTAGAATTACTACACATCTATTGCACTTCTTCCGTCTTCCCCATATCTTCAAAATATACACTCCACATATAAGAATAAGAAATGGAGGGAGAAAAAGAAATTATGAAAAAGAATTCAGAAAGAAACTCTTAATGTCCCCCATATTCTATCCAGTCATGAGCTCATAAGCTTCTGCTGTTAAAACTTCAAAACGGATCTTTAACTTCATCTTAATGCTGCCCAAAACTATTCAACTTCAAGTTTCTGACTTTCTTGCCTTGCAAGCTACAAATTGCTCTGAGAGAACTGCCTGAGAAAATTTGGAAGCTATCTACACATCAACATGCCACCTACTTTATCAATCTCAGCTCGTCCAGAGTGAGCTGAGTCTTGATGCAAGTTTTGCACTCTTGTAGTCCTCTCTAAGCTGAATAAACCTGTATATTCAATCATTTTTAAGAAACTCAGCACTATTGAGAGGCATCTCACTGTATTGAAGTTGACCAGAAAGCATCTCAGAGAAAAGGAAAGCCTCTAAGAGACAGATCATGTGTGTACATGCACATATGCACAAAGAGATCTGTCATTACATGAAGAACACACTAATAAACTCTTGGAAGAAGAGTAACTCCCTTCCCTGCAGAGGGTGTCAGCATAAATTATCTACATCTTGATGTTTGGTTGAAGGCAACTAGGAAGTATCACAGTATCAGCAATATATTTCTATGCTATTTGTAGACACCCTCAAGCCGAAAGGTACAGAATCACCCCTCAACTACTATTAACACTAAATATGTAGTTAACATAAGTATTTTTTATATGCATTTATCGATCAAAAAAGTTTTCTAGAACAACTTTTGTTGTGTCCTAATGAAAATCAAGGCCGTTTATTATTCTTTCCTTTTTTTTCACAAGAAGAACTCATTAATTATTCATATTGGATATCAATGTGCGACACATTCATATATCTTTATACCTCTGTGCATCTTTCCGAATACTGGGTGTACCCTCGAACAAGGTAGATAGACTTTCAGGAGCGACAATAAAGACATTGGCCATGCTGGAATCAAAAGTCATCAGTATTATATACAAAGCTAAAATGAAGGATGGAATTTTGCAAACCTTTTGTGACTTACATGCCCAATAATTCAAATTTCTCATCAACGGATGGAGCATTGAAACTCCGCACAAATTCTCCATATTCTGTTATGTCACGCTTCAGCCGCAATCCTCCACTGCAAACAGCCAGTCATGGAAAAATAAATGAAGGAGAACCTAGAAGAAGCAAGTCAATCTTTTCCCTTGTGTTACATATAACAAAATAAAACATATTGGTTGCCTAAAGAATGTGAATATCAAAAAAACCCAACTGCTTTTGAAGCTAAACATGTTGCATTTACAGGGGAAATCAATAAAAAACTTGCAGATTATTGACAATTATAAGCATGGGAAGTTACTAAAACTGAAAAGCTGAAAAAAGTTGAAAAAGAAAAACAAAACAAGACTCTACTTGTAAGAGTGCATTTCTCCTATATTAAACAGGAGAGAAAGTCCATGCTCAGACTAATGGTAACTCAAATTCTACCGGCAGAGAACAGAAAGATTCTCACCACAACAGAGAAATGATTGTGGAGTGAGAGATTGATGGATAGGGAAGGTTGAGGTGGCTGAATTGGATAGGAATAAAAACAACTGAAAGAAGAAATGAAAATGATTGAACGAAAAGTTTTGTAATCTA